CTGGAAGATGGTGACAACATAAGAAAAAGAACAAAGAACAGTCTATATGAGAAACAAACAAGCTTCACTCTGGGAAGAAATGTCTTCTTTGGTCTTTACAACAAAGAATAAACCAAGATGGTTTACAGACATTTCACAATTAAATTACCCTATATAAAGCATATTCATTCACCTAGTGGCCTCCTGCCATTCTTGTCACAAAGAGAACATATGAATAGAAGGTAGTTAACAGGCCAAAGTTAAAGAAGGCAAACAATGGCAACAACAATAAAGAAAATGAGCAGAACATGTTTAGCTCAAGGCAGATATATTGTAATACAGCACAAAAACAATCATATCCCAATTCTACATTCATTTACAAATCTTTCACTTTTTTTTAATTAGTTAATGAAAATCTATTTTAATTCAAACAAACCTGATATTGAAACTGTACTTCAATCTTTTTATGCTTTAATTTGAAATTAGATTCTCAGAGAATTCCAAAAGGAGAATGATAAATTTAAAGAAAAATGTTGTCAAATTCTAAACACAAAGAATGAATGTGAAATCTATTTAGTACATTTCTTAACAAAATATGCCAGCCATACTTTATAGTTTAGTTTTCATATTAAAAATTAAATAAAAGTAAATTTCATCTGTAACAAAATAACATCCACCCAGAAAAGTTGATTTATTCCCAAAAATAGAAAAGGAGATTTTTCTTGCACATCAAATTCTTTTAAATTTGTTTTTGCTTTTTAAGTATTTGATGCAAAATGCATTTTCCTTCATTCAAAATACAGTAGTAGGAGAAAACTCTTTTCTGAAGAAATCATAAGATTATCTATATAATACTAAAACATCTGATTTTGTATGTCTGTCTGTAAGCTCTTGTTAGACAAAATGATGCATTGTAAACAGATATTAAATTCAGGTATCCAACATTTTAGCACCAACTTAAAGACTCTTTCTCTCTTTCTCTCTCTTAAAAACAAAAAGATCAATGATAGTGTTAGATCTGTATTTATGCTCAAATAAAGAAATTTTTTTTCATTGTAGCCAGAGATACTGAATAAGGCTATTTCAAAATAGGTTAACTTAAAAAAAAAAAAAAATATGCAGATGATTTACAATTAAATAATATTGAGGAATCTGCATTGTCCTTAATGAAAAAAAAAAAAAAAACAATTTTTCAAGAGAGATAACTATTAACAGCTAATTAAAGACTGCTACCCTTTATGTATTACTTCATTGCATATGAAAAAAAAATTTACACATATTTTGAATGTAGCATAATCTGTGAGGGAGAAAATTCAATGATAATCTTTTTTCCACTGTTTTCTTGAAAAATGATTCAATCAGTCAAAGGGTTGTCTAGTCTTAAATAAAACTGTTATAATAACAAAGATCAAAGACAGAAAACACTAAAGAATATTAAAAGAAACTTTCCCAAAATTTTGATTTAATTTCTACAAACTGGAATTGGTCACACAACAAACTTGTCATTAATATTCATCTTGTCATAATCATTAAAATTAAATGAAAAAACACATTGTATTTCAAACGCTAGACACAAAGTATTCAAATGTTTTTTTTAAACATTAAGGAAACATCAGTTTTTAACAGATATTAGAATTACAACCACAATGACCTACAGGTTTGGCTTGTTAATTTTGGCAAGCAGTAAACCTACCACTCACAAATCAAATACGATAAAATATTCCATCCCTGTATTATAGATTAAGTGATTGCTTTTATGGCTTATCAACCTTTTGCAGGTTATTTGAAGCCAGAAAATATTTTTAGATTGTAAGAATTTTTTTAATATAATAATGAATTACTGATACAAGTCCTACTAATTAACCCATAGAAGGGGGGCTGGATTCATACTATTCTCAGGAGTATTTATCTCTAGAAGAAAAAAAAAATACAATCTTAGTCCATTGTCAGAGAGTCAAAAAGGACAGTTTTTCCCTTGACACCACTATTATTTTAGCTACCTTCACTTCTCAGCAATGTTTATTGTTTTAAAAAGCAATGATTAAAATTTTAATAAAATCTAAACATATCAAAGTGAATTTATACATTTTCTTTGATCTTGAGAATTTACAACAAAAATATTAAATACTATTAGATTGTTTAGTGAAATGGTTGACAAATTTTCTAAAAAAGACCCATTTTATTGTCAAAATGTTAATGCTATTATTAAGAGGAAAGACCAAAGGACTTTTTTTTTATTGTTATTAAATTTCTTAATACTTTCTAACTGAATCAAAATTTTAGTTAAAAAACTTTTTTGCCTTTTTTTTTTTTGCATCAGTAGGTGAGCCAAAGATTAGTCCAGAGATTGGGGGGGGCGTTTAAAGATACACCGTTTTGCATATTCTTGCAAAATACCAAGTAATTGTCAGATTTGAATTTTTGAATTTTTCTTTTTAGAAAATCTTGGTAAAAAATTTTTTTTTTTTTTACATCTGTTACCCCCACTTGGAGAATTTAAATCATTAATTTGTTTATGTCAAACAGAAACACCATTTAGTGAAAATCTGCTCTGAATCATAAAATAAAAAATGCAATAAAACTATGAAATTATTTAATTAGGATAGCTTTTAATTGCTTTTATAAATAAAATATATTAAGGAAATTATTATTCTTAATAAAAAAAATTTTTAATTAATAATAAATTTTACAAGAATTGTTTCTATTTTTTAATTTTAATTAGAAGTTAAGAAATATTTTAAATTCTGTATTAATTTCAGCCTTTTAGGTGATATTATTATTAAGTAAAAATTATATTTACTAACCACCAATGGAAAGGCTTCAAACACCAACATGTTAAAAAGAATTTTTGGGGAAGGTATAAATATGTCGATTTTTGTAAGTATGAGCTACCATACACAGCATTATCAGGAAATAAGAATGATGACTACAGTAAATTTAAAATCAACATTTCTAAAATTCAATAAAACATTAGATTATTGAGAATATTTTTCTAAATTTTTAAGAGTAGTTAAAAAATATATAAAAAAGGAGCTTGTCATTTTCTTCAATTATGTTTTACTGTTTTTTTCTCCATAGAACAACATTAGATCTGTCATCAGGCTGTCAACACATCAAGACAGCTACTGTTAGGTTAAAAAATGCATTTATGCAATATTCTAAATTTAAATTAAATAATATTTGTTTCATATTAGATTAATTATACATTAAATCAGCTAATATTCCTCAAATAAATTTTTAAAAAAATATATTTTATTTTTGGAAGACTTTTTTAATAAAGAGAATTACATTCTGATGAAAAACGGCTAAAAAAGGGTGCTATTTTAGCAAAAACAAAACAAAAAAAATACAACTTCCTTACAGTCAATTTAAATTAGTTTTTGAAATATGGCAAAGTATTTCCATTATTGGAAAAATTAAATTTAATCTATTAGCTTGAAATCAGAACTAAAATAAAAGCTTCAAGAAATATTTTTCATTTTTAAAAATTCATTTTAAAAATTATGTCTTGCATTTGTTGTGGAGGTAAATTGCCAATTGATTCAAACCTTATAAAATCGGAACTAATAAGGATGTCCTAAATTCTTTTTAACATGTTCACATATTTTTATAATTTAGTAAATATTTATAAATTTATAAATAATAAATTGTTTTCATATTTATTTTTTATGAATTGGTAAATGATAAACATTGCATTGCATTATTTTTAATATAATTGTATTCATTTTAGAATGTTGTAAGTATAAGCTTATTCTTGTAAATAAACAATCTAATAAATAGTGTTTAATATTTTTGTTATCAATTATCAAGAAAAAAAATGTATAAATTCACTTTCATCATACATTTACATTTTATTACAATTGTAATGATTGCATTTTAATAAAAACATTGCCAAGGAGTGAAGGTGGTTAAAATAATAGCAGTGTTAGGGGAAAACCTGTCCTTTTTTGATACACTATTTTTTGTGAACACAAAGGTTCAAGATTGCCGGAGAAAAAAAACAAACTGATACAAAGTTAGGTTAGATAAAACTGCTTTGCATTAACTGGAGTACGCCTAATAATTACATTTAAAAGGCATTTGAAAATTATACACCATAGCTGAAATTCTAAAAAGAAATATTTCCAAGGTAAATAATGTTCTTCATCAATAACTACAAATTAGTTAATTACTATTTAAATGTTAAAAAAAAAAAAAAAATGTCAAGAAAAGAATTAAGACATCTGCCAACAAATGATATTCACAGTTTGTGGACTTTCAGCAATTATTGGAATAAAAGCTTATGTTTTCTTGTAAATGATTCCTTCTACACAAAACAAGCAGAACTGATTGATGACCAATGTTCATTTTCTGACCTCATTTCAAAAATTAATGGGCAAAAAAGTGTAATATTAGAGTTACAAGAATGCTAATAAAAGCTAATTTTATAATAGAGAACACAGAAGAATATAGGACTTCATCTGTCATAAGTGACAATGGATATACAGTCCTTTTCCCATGCCTGGATAATAATTATAAATAGGCAGATAACACAAACATACTCCCTTTCCTCAAATAACCAATCAATTTCCAAGAATAAAGAAAGGTAAAATATGGCAATATGTAAAATGGTTTTCAGCTAATCTATTATTTAACCATTAGATTATATTTTGGAAAGGTCATCAATTTGCATTTAATATGACAACATTATAGAGTTAGGCTACATTCAAGTATTTGGGTTAACCCTAACCCTACCAAATAACCTATCAAATATCTCAGTAACCTACCAAATATCTCATTTTTGCATTAGGACCAAGGAAATAATGTTAACCATTTTGGTGGAAAAACAAAAACAGTATCATGGATTATAGGTCATAAAGTACAGTACTTCACTTATTTCTTTAAAATGGGAATTTTGTTATATTTAAACCTTTCCTTTTAATTTTTTTTTTTTTACTTATATTTATTTTGGATGTGCAGGTGATATAATGTTTAGTAGCATATAACAAGAAACTGGCAAAACAAAGTTCAAATTCCAGTTG